CGTGCCCGGCGGCGGCCCCAGGAGCAGGCCCAGGACGAACTCGCGCTGCGCCGCCGCGCGCCACCGCCGCGCGGGGGCGGCGACGTCGCACCGCCGCGCCGCGTGGCCCCGGAACGCCGCGGCGACGCGCGACGCCGCGGCGACGGCCCGGGCCGCGCGGGCCCGCGCGACGACGCCCCGCGCGACGGCGCCGATGGCGTCCGCCGCGGCGACGGCCGCCGCGAGGCGCCGCGCCGCCGCCGCGGCGCGCGCGCGCGTCTGCGCCGCGGTCGCGGCCGCGCGCCACGCGCGGAACCCGCGCGCGGCGCGCGGTCCCCGGTAGACGCGCGTCTGCACCGCGACGGCCGCGGCGCGCGCCGCGGCGAACCGCCGCGCGGCGACGGCGCCCCGGGCCCGCGTCTGCGCGACGAGGATGCCCCGGAGGAACGCCGCCTTGCGCGCGCGCACGAGCCGGCCCCGCGCGACGCGCTGCACGGCCTCGGCGTAGGGCGCCGCGCCCACGGAGATGAGCGACTCCTTCTCCGTGCGCTGCCGCTGCACGAGCGCCCGGAGCGCCTCGATCTCCGCCGTCTGCGCCGCGATCCACGCCGCCGTGAGCGCCTCCTCCGCCGCCGCGTTGGTCAGGAGGCGCTCGTCGGGCGTGTGGAGCTCGGGCGTCTTCGGGCGCGGCTCCGCGGGCTTCGCGGGCGTGATGTGGAACTCGCCCTCCGACGGCGTCACGCGCGGCGTCTCGCTCGCGTCGTAGTAGACCTCCGGCGTCGCGATGGACGACGTCGTGAGCTGCTTCATCGCGAAGGGCGTCTTCGTCGTCGTCTTGCGGGCGCCGCCGAGGTTCGAGAGGTCCGTGAGCGCGCTGCGGCGCGCGCTATCCGGCGTCGGCGGGATGATCGAAGCAACCATCTCGCGCAACCGGCGAGCTCGCGGCGCGTTTCGGCGCTTCACGTCGGGCGCGCGCGACTGGGACTGTGGTGCGGAACTATGGACGGTCGTCGCTGGTTCACGTCGCGCGAGCACGATCGCGACGTCCACTATTGCGGCGCCAAATCACAACTGCCTCTCGGAGTGGGGCAACAAGATGGCAACACAGCTGTACAGCCTCAACCTTGCCGAAGCCGCCGAAAGCGCTTCCGTGGAAGATGAGCTTGCGTGTAGCTCGACGCGCCGCGATCTGAGCGCACGAGACGCCGCGAACCTATCGCACGAGACGCGCGCCGCGAACTGATTTCACTTCGCCCGACCGCTGCCGCGGCGACACAAACCGCCTGCGCAGGATGCGCCTCGTCCTCTGCCTCGCGGTCGCAAACGCGCTCAACGTCGTGCGCGCGCCGCCGAAGACGCAGACCATGGGCGCCGTCGCCGCCTGGCACGCCACGCGCAAGAACGAGATCACGCGGCGCCTCGGGCGCGACGCCGTCGCCGAGCTCGAGGCGCCGACGCCGGCGCGCACGCTGTCGTGCCTCGCGGCGGTCAACGTCGCGAACGTGTACCTCGCGTCGGCGACGCCGGCGCTCGGCGGCCTCTGGTGGCTCGTCGTCGCGGCGACCGTCGGCGCGTGGTGCAGCCTCGCCCAGTTCGCGCTGCTCCACGACGTCGTCCACGGCGGCGCGGACGTCGGCGGCGCGCCGGGCGAGCGGCGGCGGTTCCGCGAGCGCGTGTTGAAGTATGGGAGCCAGCCGAGCGTCTTCGGCTACTGGCTCTACCTCGCCCTGGGCCACCTCAACCACCACGCGGCGACGGGCGACTTCACGGCGAAGGAGCTCTTTGCGTCGTCGGAGCTCGCGTTCGAGGACGGCGACCTCTTCTTCGCGTCGCACCGCCAGGACTCGCCCGGCGGCGGCGACGACGACCCGGCCTGCATCTCCATCGCGCGGGCGTCCTACCGCACGCTCTGGAACAACGGCGGCTCGGACCTCGCGGCGCTCGGCAACGCGGCCGCGTACGCGCTGTCGATGTCGCTCGAGCGCGCGGCGCTCTGCGGCAACGACAAGCTCGTCGCGCTCACGGACTCGAACCGCCTCTTCTTCCCGAACAAGCCCCCCGCGTTCCACGAGATGTGCGGGTCCTACGCGCGCGCCGCGGCGCTCGCGCAGTGCGGCGTCGTCGTTCTGGCGCACGGCGACCTCCGCGCGCTCGCGTACCTGCTCGTCGCGGAGACGGCGTGGCAGGTGCCGCCCTGGCCCGCGGCGTCCCTCTTCGTGAGCAACCACGGCGTCCACGACGACGGCGCGGGCGTCGGCGGCGCGGGCCCGGCGGACCGGCCGACGTACTCCGTCTACGGCGGCGGCCTCTTCGACGCGCTCTGCTTCAACGCCAACTACCACTGCGAGCACCACGACTTCCCCAAGGTGCCCCTCTGGCGCCTCCCGGAGCTCCGGCGCCGCGCGGGCGCCGACTTCTACCCGGAGTCGCCGCCGTGGACGGACGTCCTCGACGCGGCCTTCCGGCGCCGCGTGACCTACCCGAAGTGGAACCGGGAGGCCGTCGCGACGTCCGAGCTGTCGCTGCTCTAGCCTCCTTAAACCTATCCGCCGGCTTGGGTGCGGCGCGCCTTGTACGGACGGCCTTCGGGTGGGCTCGGCGTCGCCGACGCCGCAGCGATCGAGGTCAGCCAGCTGGCGGTGCTGTGTCAAATCCTCCTCGAGGAGTCGAGATCGAAACGCAGGTCCTCACGACTGACGCCGTCACTCCCCAACCCCGACGCCGCGACGACGCCCCGACGCCCCCCCGCCCGCCGACGATACAACATGTGGATGTCCCTCATGATCGTCATGTTGGTGGCGATCGGGTTCACGCGCCTCCTCTTTTTAGCCCTCGACCTGCGGGACGACTACGAGGCCTCGCAGACGCGCGGCGACGGCGCGTCCGTCGCGCGGCGGCGGCGGCACATCCACGAGCGCATGGAGTGCCAGGCGAAGCCCCGCCAGGTGGAGCGGATTGGCGAGGGCTCCGTGAGCGTCTACGCGCCGGTTGGCGAGTTCGTCGGCGGCCGCGACGTCGTGTCGTCGCTCGTCGACGCGATGCTCTGCGGCGAAGACACGACGGTCGACGCGCCGAAGAAGAAGACGGTCGCGTCGGACGCCGACGACGCCGCCGCCGACGACGACGACCTCGAGGCCGCGAACGTCGTCGCCGCGCTCTCGCGAAACGCTCCCGAGACGTCCGAGTGCTGCTCCATCTGCTTCGAGCGCGCGCCGAACGCCGTGTTCCTGCGGACCTGCGGCCACGGCGGCTGCTGCTACTCCTGCGCCGTCGACGTCTGCGCGACGTCGCGGACGTGCCCGTTCTGCCGCGGACCCGTCGAGCAGGTCGTCATCGTGGACCTGGCCTCTGCGATCGCGTCGGGCTCGGACGCGGCGAGGCTGGACGTCGTCGGCCCGGGCATGGCCTTCGACGGCGCGTCCACGGACGACGAGGACGACGCGCCGCGCGCGAAGACGCCGGAGCCGGCGGCCTACGTCGCGCTCGGAGGCCCGACGACGCCGCGGAAGCCGACCGCGACGGAGGCGACGCCCCTCGTCGCGACGGGAGACCTCCTAAGCTTGTGAACCTTGGTCCGTCCTCGCTAGCGAGTCGCAATTTGACCTCAAATTGAGGTCAATGTCGTGCGGCAGTGGAGGGATGAAGGAGCTCTCGAGCACAGTCTGAGACAGCGCTGAGCGCTTGAAAGCGCCCCGCGCCGACACAGAACCACATGGACGACGCGCACGACTGCGCCTCGAGCGACGACGAGGACGACTTCACCTTCGCCGCGCCGCGGGAGGCGACCGGCTCGTCGAAGCGCGCGCGCGCGACGGCGGCCGTCGCCGCGGCCTGGCGCGGGAGCCAGCCGCTCGAGCGCCCGGAGCCGAAGCGCCGGCGGTCGGCGCCGCCCGCGGACGACGCGCCCGCGCCGGCGCCCGACCGGCCGACCGCCGCCGCGGCCGAGGGCGCGCCGCCGCCGCCGCCGACGACCGCGCACGTCGCGAACCTGCCCGCGCGCGCGACGGCGGCGCTCGTCGAGGCCCACTGCGGCGAGGTGCTCGGCGACGACGCCGCGGTCGTCGACGCGCGGCTCGTCGCGCGGCCGCCGCGGCCGCCGTTCGCGTTCGTCGAGTGCCGCGACGCCGGCGCGTGCCGGCGCCTCGTCGCCGCGCTCGACGACCGGCCCTGGCTCGAGAGCCCGCGGCTCGTCGCGAACTTCGCGCGGCCGCGGCGGCGGCCCGGCGACCCGAAGCCGCGCCGGGGCCTCGACTACGAGGTGTTGGCCGCGCACGTCGACCGGGTCGAGCGGGAGCGCGTCGAGACGCGGGCCCGGGAGCGGCGCGAGGCGCGCGACGCGTGGCGCGCGGAGCACGGCGACCGCGCCGACGCGGCAAAGGCGGCGCACCGCCGCGCGGGCCACTTCGGCCACGGGTTCGGCCCGGACGGCCGGCCGAAGCTCCACTCCGGGTATAAGGACATGCTGTAATGCTCGACTATAAGGGCTCGGGACTACACGGTCAGTGCCACGTCGAAGGGCGCGCCCGCGACGATGCCCGTGCGCGTTACTCTGAGGTCGCGCCCTTGCTGTCTTGCTGCTTGGTGGGCATCAGAAAGGCTCTGATTTGCTCGCGAAGTACGGCGTCGGGTGTGTTGAAGACGTCGACGACGAGCAGCTTATGGGGCGGAACGAGGCAACGGACGAGCATGTTGTGCATCGCAAAGGCGAGGGCAGAGTCGGAGGGATTCAGGTTGTTCCTGGAGGTCCGATCTTTTTTTTTCCGGTTCTTGATGATCTCCATGGACGCGTCGAAGAGGGCAAACGGCCGTGGGGACGTGGGGTGGTGGCGAACGCGACTGTCAACCCACTCAGACGCGTTGCGGACGGAGAGAATGACTCTGGCTTGGGGGTAGGTGCGGTAGATGTACGGAAAGAGTTCGGGAATGGGTGAGTCGGCGACGCCGTCGTACGCGTCAAAGACGTCGTAGTCAAAGTGCGCGCGTTCCGGCGGCGTCAACGCCAGCAAGCGTTTGCGCAAGCCCACGTACGCCTGCGAGGCCTCCCTCGATCTGTTGCCGTACACCAGCTCCCAGTGCGCGACGGTTCGAGCGGGGCGAGCGGTATCGGATATCAACTTGGCGACCGTGTGGGTACCGGTCGTCCCTTCGCCGGCCCCGATGATCAGTGGTTTGGGATTGACGTGTCGGGGACGAAAGGCGTAGTTCCACGTCGCCCGCACGTCGGAGCAGACGTCATCTGCCCCCGTCGACACGAGCAGCAGCACTCCCCACAACATTTCGCCTTGACGCGTCTCACAAGATTTTGCGGTGCTCGCCGCGTCTCGACGACGTGCGTAGCGTGCGTGCTCTACTCGGGGTCTCGTCGCGCCGTCACGGGCGGTGTGCTCTACTCGGGGTGCTCGTCGCGCCGTCACAGGCGGATCTGCCCTACTCCACACCCAAACCTTTGGGTGGTGAACACCCGATTAGCCCTCGATGGGCCTCAAAGCGGCGCGTAGGCCGCGGTAGCCGAAGGAAAAACGGCCCCGGCCGCGGCGCATGTACCCCACGAGGGCGCGGAGCCGTTCCAACCGTTCGTGATGGCGACTTCGCGGCTCAAAACGGTCGCGTGACAGCGGTAGGCGGCCCACGCTCTCAGAGGCCCGAGTGCGGACTCGTCGGAAACGCTGCTTCTGGCTCGTTTGGGGCGTGTGCGGGTCCTTAGTGATGGTATAAGAGATTCCGCGTGCTTGGTTCGATGCGTGCGGGCCCAAAACGTGACTGCGCGCGCGGCCGAAGCTCGGCGCCGACGACATTCCCGACGCGTTGACCGCGGGCATCCGGAGCGCCACACGTGCGAGGCGCTGGCCACATCCCTCCGGTGGGTCATATACTCGGTCCGGAAGCGTCGTGTGACCTCGGAAAACGTGTTGAAGTCGTGGATCGCGGACCCCATACACTGCAGCCCTACCGAATGATCTCTGCCGCTGCGATTCTCGTCACCAACGTCCACC